TTAAATTAAATTTCAGATAGGGAAATTGTGTGAGGCGCTGGTCGTTTAGTTTTTTTAGAACATAAGATGTAAATGAGTACTCTACTCTGCGATACAATTCATACTTTTAATGAATAATAAATTACGTATTTTGACACTATTTTAATTTAAAATCTAAATATCTCTATTCCAGTTTGTTTCCATTGCATGAAAAAGATTTTATTCATTTTAATTTTTTTTAGATTTTCTGCTTTCGTAAAAAAATTGTCCAATTTTTCTGTTTTTAGTTCTATATTTTCAGGCTTACAAGGGAACATACCGAGGTGTCCAACGAGTTAAGGGTCGACACCTATACCAAAATGACCACAATACATGACTTATTAAACAAACTGAAGGAATTTCCGTGTAAAATTCACTTTTCGTCAGGTTGTGACGATATTTGTGACGAGCGCATGACCATCCGGTTGCCAGCGGGAGAGGTCGGCCGCTGAACGATCAGGTCGACCACAGAGAAGCGTCGTCCTCTTCACGTCTTCCTCTTAAGAGATTTCAAATTCTTTCAAATTATGAAAACATCTTGAAATTTTGAAAACATATTGAAATTTTGAGAAAATTTTGAACTTTTCAGAAAATTTTGAAATTTTGTGAAAATTTTGAAATTTTGAGAAAATTTTGAAATTTTGTGAAAATTTTGAAATTTTATGAAAATTTTGAAATTTTGTGAAAATTTTGAAATTGTGAAGACGAACGTGAAGACGACGACGCTTCTCTGTGGTCGACCTGATCGTTCAGCGGCCGACCTCTCCCTCTGGCAACCGGATGGTCATGCGCTCGTCACAAATATCGTCACAACCTGACGAAAAGTGAATTTTACACGGAAATTCCTTCAGTTTGTTTAATAAGTCATGTATTGTGGTCATTTTGGTATAGGTGTCGACCCTTAACTCGTTGGACACCTCGGTATGTTCCCTTGTTAGAGCATTTTAATTAATGGTTGAGTTATTTGAAATAATTATATACTAATATATTTACAATAAATTGTTGTATGTATGTTCATGATGTGAAAAAAAGGTAACAATTTAAGTAGTTCATACATGAAGAATAGGACCAAACAATTACCGGCACAAATATGAACATTTATACATGATTGAAAAATGTGCAGCCCCTACGGGTTAGGAAATGACAGCAGCAAATTCCACGCATTGTCCAGCACAGTAGAATAAAAGTTTAGCTTGTAACCATCTTCAATCAGAAAAATCTTATACCCTGGAAGTCCACAAGGGATGGCAAAAACCGGGATTGCGTTGACCATTCTCCGCTCCAGTGACCGTCGAATTTCATACAGCCTCAAATTGCCCAAACCCTCCACACATTTCTGGTTTATTCCTTCCAGTGCCCTCAGCAGGAAATACGAGATGCCAAATATGATAAGAAACATGTACGGCGCCAGAAGATATGCTTCTAGTGGCATTTTCCCATACAGCTTAATCGTCACGTAAGTAAACCCCGACAACATGACGGACATAACGTAAATCAATAGGATTCCAGCACCCGATACGAAATCGCTCGAAATCTTGCCAATTAAATGGAGTTGGCGATAATTCGCGACAACATTGGAAAACTCCGTCGCAGTTCTGGTTGGCAGTTGGCTTACTAGGTTTTCAATTCTTTCCCATGAAAACGCTATCGACGTTATGAACGCATTTAGCATCGCGTTGATTTGCATTTGCTCCACGCATCCGACTCCCATTGCGAGAAAGCTGAGGAACCTCAGTGTCCATCGTGCCAGGTCATGCGTCTCGAGATAAGGTCCGAACCATTGTTCAAGGAGGAAACCATGTGGACACATTTTTAGATAGACGCCAAGACCAGCAAAGACAAAGGAGAGGCCGACAAAGATTGGATTTTGCACTTTCAAGATCAGAACTAGGTTTTTGAATTGGGACACGTTTTCCAAAACGTGTGGTAGGGATTCTGAAATTTATAAAAAAATCTAGCTGACTAAAGCTTTGATCATTTTTATCATGCCTTTGATCATTTTTAGAACCCTAGGGATTGAAAATTAGATTTTCTTGTAGCAAGAAACCTGCTTGAAAATAAACCAATTCGCCCTAGCAAAATCTGTTCCTTATTGCTTACCATTCAGTACTCGACATTCCAACCTCATCAAATTTATGATTAGATTCGCAACTTCTGGGGCGTAGTAGGTCGTCAGCAACATATAGTCAAACAGACCCGCAATCATGACGCCAAGCAAAGGAAAGAAGATTCCAATCCAGGCCGCGTCAAGTTGTTTCATTTTCAAGATCACCAACATAAAACTGCCATTCGTCAAGACGAGTACACAAAATACGTTAAACCAGTACAATTTACATGACTTTGGGTCACGTATGGTAAATTGTTTCTTCTTAGAATTCCAGGCAATGGGGCGTTGTTCAAAAAAAGGAGTGTCAAAAGTGGCCGAATAAGTTTCCAGGAGTTGTGTCGAGATGATGGGAAGTTTTGTGGTTTCGCGTCGTCGTTGCATGACAACTCGATGCTTATCATAATATTTCTAAAAGAGTGATGATTTCAAGTTCACATGTAGAACTTCTCAGAAATATATAGCTGATTGAGGAATACGCCATTACATACGTCCAGTTGTGGAGCTTATCTACGTATGAGATCCAGACATATTACTTGGATCGAAACGAACCTAATAAATTACTAAAGTGGAACCACCAAATATGCGACATTGATTACAAAATAATCAGAAATGGATATAAACTAAACTCAGAAAAGGATTTATTAGGTAAAACTTTGTTCTGTGCGAATAAAAGAACACACTCAAAGTATTTATTTACTTGTAAAAATCTCAGTATTCTAACTGTAACTAAACTTAAATACGCAATAAAATTCCTTTTATGTATTAGCATACGGCACAGTTAACCCATCAGTTACGAAAAAGCTAATTCCGGAAAGTCTACTCAGAATTCTTACAATTACCACACTTTTAAATTAATCCCTTAATATGGCGAGTCATATTTTTGGTCCTCATTCACTTTTGAAGCTTACATTATAAAAATCTTTCTAACAATAACAAGGTTGCGAAAGTTCGTAATTTTTTTTAGAATGCGTATTTGTGTATTTTCAGTAAGAATATCCCCACTAAAGAAAAAATTCATATTTTCGTTTAATTTGCGAATTTCTTAGGATTAGTGCCCCAACGTGAATAGATAATTAGTTTTACGAATTATAGAAAATTTGAATGAGAATTTTTCTAATTTTGTATTGAACGACAATTTTCTAATTTGTATCGAGAGGAAGAAATATGTATTTCGTTCAATGTAGAATTTCATCACGACACTAATTTAATCACACAAGGCAGGAAATTAACTCTGTACCTATGGATGCAGATATTGTCATACATATATCGGAATACTCCAGAGTACACGAGCTTGACCGGAGTACGGAATAAATATAGGACAATGTTTTGATATGAGCATTTTTTGGGCAAAGTTTTGCTTATTCTTAGGATTAGTGAGGCAATCAAATACCTAACAACTAAAAAAATTCTTATGTAATGACTTACAATTGAACCGTTTTTTCAAGCTACACCAGGATTGTGTAACGAGTCACATATGTCAAAAAATGGAGACTTTAATCCATTAGATGTACGTTACCGTATTTAATTTTTAGTTGAGACAGGTTACCTGGTTACAGGCTCCAGTAGAAAATGAGTTCCAAGGATACTACGCTGGTTAATTTTGCGACCCCTTTAGTTCGGACCAAGCTATTAAAATTAGCACAAAACGGCCAGACCTGCGACCTTTTGGCTAAGACCAGAGCGTAGGGTCTTAAACATCGAATTGTAGATCCTTTTGACGAAAATGCGTCTTGATACTCTTGATAATATCAGTGTCTAATGCATCCGGCAAAGAGCTCGGTAAACTTGTAGTTCATGACCCCGTCCGATAGGTGGCGCTAGTGCATGGCTCACAAATCTCACTATATCTCATATTTCTCATGTTTCACTATTTCTCATAATATCTCAGGAGGACAACCCTTCACCGACAGAATCACCGATCTTGATGCCCTTTGGATATGTTGTAGTCCTAGGTGAGTCTAGTAAAAGTGAAGGAGGATTTCATTCCATGGCCCCATTTGCGCCCGCCACACCCACTCAAAGAGGAATCTTATGCCAAACTGGTCGCATTAAAAAATTCACCAAAAATCCATTTTTAATGATAATTTGATAATTTTTGCACCTTTTTGATCCCAGATAGTTGTTTTATCGTATCCGACATGAATTTCAATTTTTTGAATTTTTTGAATATTTTCGAAAATTTCGTAGATTTCGAAAAAATCAAAATTTCGAAAAAGTTGAGTTTGCTATTGGATATGATAAAGCAACTATCTAGGGTCACAAAAATGCTTAAATTGTGAAAATCCGACCAAAATTGGATTTTTGGTGATTTTTTTAATGAACCAAAACAGGGTATTTTCGCACCTTTGAGTGGGTGTGGCGGGCGCAAATGGGGCCATTGAATGAAATCCTTCTTCACTTTTGCTAGACTCACCTAGGACTACAACATATCCAAAGGGCATCAAGATCGGTGATTCTGTCGGTGAAGGGTTGTCCTCCTCAGTGAGATGAGATTTATGCAACCCTGATCTGACTCCCATCTCACTCGAATCGTTCCTCTTCAGGGTCAGGGTAGTGAACTTGACCAGTAAAATGAGGACGCCGCGGCATCTTGATAATATCAGCCCGAGCTTAAAACTATTGTAACTTTGTTGGGTAAACGCCGGCGTTTCGAAGTAATTAACTTGGCGAACTTTCTAAAATTTGAAGTACCCACATACACATATATTTACATATGGTACGCATGAGATAGTTGAATTTTTAATATGAATTGACACATTTTCAGCAAAAATGCATTTGTGTGTACCAATATAATAATGACAAAATTTATTGCTCAACAAATTGTATATTAAATTTTAGGTGCCACAACATATTAAAACAATTTTACACAAAATTTCGATACGTATTCAACTAAATATTAAGTTAAACATTCAATAGGACACAATCAATTTTTAAAAAATTATTTTCGATTTATTAAACATTATTTGTGTATGGATACACATTCATACAAACGCATACTCCATCTTCAGTTGACCCTGGTAATTGTAAAGTGCTATGCAATTAGTTATTGCAATTGATTTTGAACAACCAATTACCCTGGGTGGGTGGCTGGAGTTAGATTAAACTCCAAATCTTGAAATCTCACACGTCTACACTTCCACCAAAAATCTTTCGCAGCTCCGGAAAAGGTTGTGAGATTTTGGCCCGTCGTTTTGTCCACGTTCCACGCATTGCAGGGAACAGATCCGCCGTGTATAGTGTTTTTCATCTTGTCCCGAACATTTCGGACATCATCCGTCTGGGCGGATTCCTTCACACAGACGACTACATTTTGGTATTGGTCCCTATTTCTCTCAAGTTTCCCTGCCACCATTTTCCGCATTCTTTTTAGCACCGTGACAATCCAGTTCATTTGATATTCAATACAAAACACGGCGGAGAAATGGGGAATAAGCTGGAAGTAGAATTTTATCAAACGAATTTAGATACATATGTAAATATATCAGCAAAACTAATGAAACAATTGGAATTTATATATTCGTAACTCATGGCCAAAATCATCAACATGACCACACTTTCATAAAATGCACACTAAAATTCTGGATGACAAACTTGTAGAGCAGTTCCTTGACAAATTTTTGAAAATATATTCTCCAAACTTTTGACAGTTTTTGAAGGAAATCTTCAGAAAAGCTCATCGAAACTGGCTGACGTTAATTAAACAATCTCACCGCCAGTCTATTAATCTGCTTTCTGACTGCAAATTTGTCAGATTTGTCCAGAAATTTGAAATCAATTCTCTAAGCCTACAAATGATTCCATGACAATGTCTTAATTTTGACAATTTTGACCAGGGTCTTATGTTAAATTATGTAACGACATTAAACATGCTACACAATAAAATTATACTAATTCTCACCGAATATGGTCCATAAATGAAAAACATGTTTGGCAAGGTATCCGTCATTATGCCAAGATAAAAGTTTGGGTCTTGTCTCAATCCTTTGGTGACGTCAATCCCATCGCCCTCCTCGATTTCGTCCTCTTTTACAAATATTTTGACCGGGTTAAACCAGTGCGTCGTCATTTGCTCGTATCCCGTCGCACAAATGATGACGTCCACGTGTCTCGTGGTTCCGTCACTGGTGGAAATGTACCCCTCGGGAGACACGGAGACGACTTCTTCGCGAATTACGTCCACGTGAGGGCGCGCTAAGGCGGGATAGTACGAGTTGGAAATGCATATCCTCTTGCACCCGAGGGGATAATTGGGGACGAGTTTTTTGTAAAGTTTCTCATTAAGTCGGCCAACCCCCCGAAGGATGTTCGCCTTGCAGAGAGCTGCACCTGAATACATATTTACATAGATACATGGATCATTATTGTATTTAGGGATGCCCCAGTTAGTGATACCCGGTCAGGGCTTAATGAGGACAACCCAATACATATATCGATGCCGGACAAAAAATTTGAATAGTGTGGCACTACCATGGGCGATTTATCCCTTTGAAGAGAATGGGAGTGGGGTTTGCTAAGTAAGCATCGCCCATTTTTTCAACTTTGACCTCAAATATTTTGACTAATTCCAACCATGGCACAAACTGCTGCCATAAGAAACTGGTTGTATTGACTTGGACCACATCATTCAAAAATTTCAACCAAATGGGAGGGTTACACTTATGTAACACCATCGCATTATTAGCATCGCATCAACTTGTATCCGTTTAAATATACCTAAAAAGAATATTAATTAAAGCTTACCCACAGCATGTATCACACTGTTTTTCGAATGAAATTGAAACCCCACGTCATACAAGGTAGCTGCTACCGCCCTGGCGCTTCCTTGCAACAGGGGCACGTTCCGAACTGCGGCGCGCGCTAGGTGCGGTATGTCAGCTTGGAATTTGTAAAATACCCAAGCAGGTCGTCTTTAAGAGGGGTAGAAGATACATATGATTCTTTGGTTAAAATATACTGATACATTTCAACGCTGCCTTTATAACTCTGTAACCACGTAAAATTACAAGACTTGCGAACATATCTAGGGTAATTTTTGCTTCCGAACTTACAAAATACGAAGGCATGTTTTTAGCATACCTGTTCACTTTCATTCATTTGACTGATTATGGTAGTTAGTAAGTGATAGTGAATGAAAATGAATTTCCCGTCATTTGAACGAAAATGATTGAAGGATTCCGTCATTTCCGATGAATGACTATGAATGAAAGGATTTTTCACCCTAGGCTTAATACATGGGACGAAGTAAGAAATGAAGTTCGATGAAGTGAAATGAAATGAAATGAAATTAATTTAAACAAAAATGATTGAATGTGAATGAAAATCTTCAGCCAGAAATCGGGGTGACTGATTTTTGAATGAAAACTATATTTTTGAACAGGTATGGTTTTTGGTTCGTAAGCTGATCTTCGTAAAATAACGTGGTTAAGTGGTTACGAAGCTGACGTGAAAGGCCTTGCTAAAAAATTTTGTGATTTTCCTTGGATAACCAACCTCTGAAAGCTGTACAAAGTTTTGACGTCATTTACAATTCCTGGAATTATTTGGCACGCTGCGGACCTGCAGGTTTGACGAATAATGAATGTACTTATTAAGTAATCCTGGTCTAAATGCGTAAACTGACGAAATAAACTGACCCACTACCCACAACGGCGACCATTTTATCCTTTAAGGAGACGGAACTATCCCACCGGGCCGAGTGGATAACCGGACCGGCGAAGTTTTTGAATTTTTCGGGAATATAGGGCACGTGGAAAGGACCTGGTCCAGCAATTCTGTATAGAATAACGATAATTGAGGGTTTTCATTACGAGTTTGCATCGCAACATAATTTTGAAAAAGAATGCCAAACTAAATACTAGCATGGGCAAATTTGCAAATGAATTTTGAAGTCAAAATTTTTTGTAAACTTGCCAATTCGTAATGAATAGCCTCATTATAAAATACATGCATATACCCGTTTTTCACTATTTCGATTTTTTATGTTTGCTTACACAATGTCAAAACTCCAATCCTCTGTAGTTCCGGTCTCTTTATTAAGACTAACTACTTTCCACTGTTTGGCTTTACTGATCCAGGTCAAAGTTTGAATTTGGCGGTTGAATCTGGAATTTTTGTAAAGGTCGTGCTTTTTGGCAATACTCTGTAAGTATGCCAAGACTTCGGGTTGTTTGGGGAACAACTTGGTCCAGTCTGGGGAACAAAAGAACTATAATTATAATTCGACAGTTATTGGCTCACATTTAACGCACCTCTAAAAAAAATTGAGAGTACCCTCCTAATAATTACGAAATCACCTAATCGGAAGCCTCTTAAAGTTATTAGTATTTTGGTGACAATCTGCCCATAATAATGAATAATAATACTGATAATGAACATATCAGTGGGCTATGATTTCCGAGTTTTACACCAAAAAGGAAATTTAAGGAAACAGATGCGAGAGAAAGTTTGGTAATAAATTTCGAATATAGTGTTTCGAGTAAGGGAGCGTCCAAAAATTATATCACAAAAATATGGTGAATTTTCAGATCTTTCCGCGATACACCCCGTTTTCATATGTGGCACAAATATAAAAAACTTTTACCCTCCCATCCCCCTCTGCCGTAACATAATTTATGAACACACCCTAAGTTAGATTTTGTCACAATTTTCAAAAGTACCTGGATTTGGGACAAATGAGAAGCTATAGATCTGCGTGGAAACGTCACACGCGCACTTTGGATACGTATGGGTCAACCAGACACCTCCAAAATCCTCATTTTCATCGAAAATGGTGAACTCATTTACCCCCAGTTTCGTCTTAAGTTTGACTGCGGCACAAATTCCGGACAATCTGGAGGTTCAAAGTGTTTTACACATATTTCAAACAAAATGGTCAAAATCAGTACATCTTTAATCATTTCGCATCTCTGGGAATTTATTTTACAATTCTGAAAAACAAATTTGTAGAGCCAATTAAAAAAATCTACACTCAAGATTTTGACAATTTTTGAAGGAGATCGCAAATTTTAGAGGCCTTTAGAGAAATTGGAACTCATCAAAACTGACTGACCTTAATTTAGAAAACTCTCCTCCATTCTATTAATCAACTTCCAGACTACAACTTGGTCGTCCAGAATTTTAAAATAAATTCCCAGATCCGGGAAATGATCAAAAATGACGATTTCGATATAATTTTACTTCAACACATTTAAGAAATTTGGCTTCAAAAATAAAAATAGTTACCCTCCTCCAATGACACAAATCTTCATCTCGCCCAGCATAATGAGTTCAAATTCGGACTGACCTTACTCTTTATCACGGCTTGATTTATATGCAATTTTTATTACAATAATTTCGCAATTTTCACAACATTAATTTTTTAAATGGTTTCAAACAGTTTGATAATTGGATACCTACTTAAATAAGTCATTTTTCTCCATGCGTGGGGGATTACGTCCCTGCGTTATACACATGTCAATCGTTAGAGTAATTGGATAAGCATGTTCACATTGCCATAAATTAAGCCGCTTAGATATTTCGTGCAGCGCTGGAAAAACATTTGTACAATAATGTGATATTCGCATGATATTATATTCGCACGATAATTTGAATACAGTTTTGGTTCTTAATGAAAATCTGAGATAAACTTGTTCTAATCTAAACTTGTTGGAAATTTTGGAACATTGGCTCACGAATGTTTGCAACATAAATTATGGAAATTATTATGCAGCCGATAACTAAAAAATGGTTGGTAATGTGTAAATAGCTATCGTATGCATGCATAATTTTGTACGAGTCAAGTGTGCATGTGTACATATCTGTAATTGTAGTTCATGGAGTTCTTGTTGTTATCGTATTCGTAATTGAATTTGGTATTTTTGTCGTATTGCGATGAAAGTTATACTTAGGATTAGTTAAATACATGTATTTAATATGATTAGTGAAAAGTGTGAGATTGGGAAATACCAGTTATTTCCTTAAACAAAAACATGTTATTATACACATTAGAATTACAAACAGATTAGTGACGAGTGACCAATAGTCGAAACCAACCCATGTAGGCATGCCACCCAGAAATACAAATATATTTGTAGGAAGATGACCTATCTAATGTGTCCCAATGCCACCATAAATTTTGTAAAATCTTTGGCCGGTGAGAAATTTTCGCAAAAATTCGGAGCATGGTTATAACTACATATTTAGAAAAAAATCATGATTACATGTTTACATGCCTAAAACATGTACCATATACAAGTTCAGATTGATATACATACATGAATATGGGAGCATCAGTTCTTATAATATGATGATTTCCTAGAATCAAACATATAATTAAAGCTCAATACATACACCCATAAGAAATTACATGACAGCTTCATTCAGACATCATTGTCAAGAAAATTGTAAAATAGGAATTATCATAAACAATGCATACAACAAGAATATTGACAAGCATACTGCACATGCACTATTAGGGTATTTATGTCACTTATTTATAACACTACCATCTCAACGTAACTTAAATTTCATAATCTAGAAACCACTTGAGGTTTGATGTGAATTAAGTAAGTTTGTAAAAAAAATATTTTCGAAAGAATGAGAAACATGCCTTTTAAATACCTTTCCCAACTTGATAGGGAAAATCATTATACGTTTACACACAATGAGTGGCGTTAATTAATACGTCCATGTAAATTGTGTAACTGCCAAGAGAACAAATCATGAGACATGTATTTACCTTTATGACATGCACATGACAAGAAGACGCTTTCATTATAAGGTTAGAAAGCTGTCATCAATTTCTCCAGATAGTTTAATAAGTATCAAGTGCTTACTTATGGTCTAGACAGCATTCGTTTTCCTCCATTTCACTGTCGCTTTATACGTCGGTGTCAGTAAATGTGAACATGAAAATTGCCGGATATAAAATTTCGAACGGAACTTCTTGGAAAATATTTGCCGCCACTCTGAGTGAAATGTGGATCACTGTAAGTATACAGGTTAACGAATTAAAATCATAAATCTACCATGACAAATTAAAGGAATTTCGCATAAAATTAAAATTCACTGCTTTTCCTAAAAAGCATTGGGTCCCACCACACACACCTTTTGACGCATTGCAACGGTTCGTCGTGTTAACGGAATTCCTGTACCCGCAGTACGTCACGTGGGATAAGACAGCCTGGCGACCAAGGGCGACCTCTCCGAAATCAAGGCTTATCCCGTGGTACCTTTTGTCATGCCTCGTTACGGCGATGCTGACGTCCTGTTGTGTCATATTGGTTAAACAAGTCATATTGAGGAACAAAGATCCCGATGTTTCCATGACGATGGGACTCATTTTAATCTTGACGTGTGCAGCGTACACGGTTGGAGTAGTTGTCGCTGTTACATTTGTCCGTAACGTGGACGAGTTGTGCTTCATGTTCGGAAACATGCCTAACCTGAAGGGTATCTCGAAAATATTTTCATAAATATGGACAAAAATGTGGTTCTATTGAAGAGATTTAAAAATTTTGCAGGTAAAAGCAAAGAAATCTTGGGAATTTTTTGCCACGGGCTCATTCTAACCGTTTTAACGTCTCCATTTGCAATAAGTATTCTTGTCTGTGTAAGCCCAAAAATAGATCCGACTTACCTCCTATTTCGCAACGTTTCCTGGATTTCGCCAAATTGGAGAATGTTTTTCAGAATTTTAATTTACTTTTTCTCCATGCTGCATGTCTGTATATTAGATTTTGGATTTGGAATAGTAATGGTGAACATGTTAGAATCTATTACCATGACGCTAAAATCGATACAAGCGAAAAACTCTTTCCCAGAAATTCTAAAAATTACAACCTATCGTGAAATTGAGTTAGTGAATTTGGCATTCAATCAAGTTCTGCACTACAGTTTACCTGTTATTCTACTGATGGCATTATTGTGTACTGTTTTAATGGGCTATATTGTCATTAAGATGACGGGACAAGTTCCGCCCATTTTCACCTTAATGGTTCTCTCGATTGTAATTTCCATATTGGGGTTCATCCAGCTAGTTTTGCCTATAATGGCGGACGTGGTAACCTATTCGTCTGATTTTCTGAGATGTTTTAATTCCCGGAAGATATCTCGTTCTTTAAAGAAAGAATTGGCGAGCTGTAGACCTCTTAAGATTTGGATGGGTCAGTACCGCTCTATTAATAGGTATTCACGTACAAAGTTCTTCGAACTTGGTCTCTATTATACGACATCGTTTGTAATCTCGGGAGTATAAAAATATAAAAATATTCTTCTGATGCAAATTAATCAGTTTTGCTTTAACCGCGTACGCCATTGAAATTGATATAGACTATATTAAGAAAGGAAATGTAAGCTGAACAGTAATTGTTTTAGGTTGTATAAATACAAGTGCTTTATAAAGTTGACTGGGTGGAAATTGGCGTTACTTTAGTCTAGCTTAGGAAAGTTAATGAATACATACATACATTAGGTATGTGCTCAAGATGTTTTGTATCTTAGGTACTTACATAACTACTCTGAATTAGTTTTCTTTCATACAACGTATGCAAATTAATATGTTCATAAATAAATAGTTAAAAAGTACAAATGTATTTATGTATAAATGTCCGAATTATCATTTTGTCATGTTTTAGTTCAGTAATCTGGTTAATTATTTCCTAACGAACATCAGCCTTTTTTGTTACAGTATACATACATAAGTTTACCAAGGCAATATTTAAGATGCACTTATATGCGTATTTAATTCGGTTTTTTCAGACTTTAGCGTCCATATTTATTTATGCATGTAGGCCTCGTTGCAATGATATAAATATTAGTATGTCTTTTAGTATGTCTATTGTCTATACATAGGAATATATCTGAAGAAAAGTCTTATAATTGACATCAGTTATTACTGCGTGTATCATTAAAATGAACTGTTAGTATGAGCTTGTGTCCGGCTTAACTCGGCAAAATATCGGTTTCATTATTAAAAGCATATTGCATAATGCAACCAAATGCATATACAATGACAAAGGGATTGATATCTTATCTAGCTTTTCTCTCAGGCAGGAATTCGCTCCAGATTTAGCAGATCACCCTGCCAACTCACCAGCAGAATGGCCATCTGGTACCAGATAAATAAAGAAAAAATATTTTTGAGCTACCTTCTTTGCAATTAATTATGGACGATATCAGCTCGATAATTGTGCAATCATACTGTGACAAACCGTCCGACAGTAAGAGGATCGTCATACTTGACATCCTTCACTCAAAATCGTCCCCAAGTTTCGACCCTGACCAGTATTCTAACATTATCAAGTCAATCGTGGAAATATTGAGGTGTCAAAACTGTAAAAAACTTGTTAATCTGCTTCAGCTTTTATTTGAAATATATCAAATTTCAAAACCTGAAGTTAGTTCATTGTGGAGAGACAATTATGAAATAGTTGAAAAATTAATGAGTCCAACAAGTTATCATTTTTGGGGAAGGTGTAAAATTTGTCAGCAAGTTGATAATATTTCGATCGGGTTGAATTCACTGGTAGCCATGGAAACAGGACATCATTCAACGATGCGAGTTGCCACGGCGACGCGTCAAGGCTTGTTCAGTACTTGTGTCATGTGTGAGAAATCTGGGGCTGGATTTCCGTTAAAATGCAAACACTGCATGTGCCCAGAATGTCTGATTCGACTTACGAAATCGCAGGATTTTTACGTTTGTTATCTTGATAATTGCAAGACGTCCCTCAGTGAGAAGATCTTGGTTGATTTGTCGATTAAATATGGATTTGATATCGATGAGAATGTACATGGCATTAAATCGAAAAAGGTTCATAGATATTTACTTGAAAATGAATTGGTATATTTGCTTTTTTAGTAATAATAATTTGTATCTTATAGAAGTCACGTCGAAAAGCGAGGGCGGAAATGCCATCTTAAGCGGTGTTAAATGCAGAAAGAATAGGAGATAGTAATGTCCACGATTATTTGCACGTGGCTGGATCAACTTCGTGCATGCCCATATGAATTCAAAATTGGGACATATGTCCGCTAATAATTACTAATTACATACAAATAATACATAATACATAATAATTACATATGTCCTCTAATCCTAAGTTATGGCATATGCCATATATGTATGAACATGTATGTACATGCATATGTATGTATATGATGATTATTGTTGATTGTATTTATATTTTTTATATTGAAGTTTGTTAGAATACGAATAATGTTTATGTACATATGTATACAGCACAAAGCTAAATCTGGTTTTTATGGCACTTCTAAATACCATTTTAAATCCAAAGTTGTTTGCAAATGTAAATAATTGTGTCAACGCTACATTACCTAAGACTGTACTGAACTAACTAAATTGCTGCATATTACTCTTTAGTTTCTAGTGCAAAGTAATTTAATGGTCATTAAATAGAAATATTTTATACAATTGCTAATTTAAATTTGTTTAAAATAATTGAAGGTATAAATAAGTTTGAACCTAATGACACAAAAATGCTGCAATTTCAACTTTAGAATATTTACATCTAGGATTAACTGATCACTTGTTTTCTATAATAAAAATTGCAAAGAAATTCTATACCGTCCACATATGTACATACATATCTAGGATAAAAATACAGCAAAACGAACATGTTTTTGTCTGGATTCCAACCTCCAATTTATGTATCATTCTACTGTGATAGTAAATCATGAAACCTGTCGATTATTAAATCTACACCCATATTCAAATACTTTCACGTTTGTAAATTCTTACAAAATCGGCTTGTGGAAGGATTCATGTTATTACAATTACCCTTCACTAGGGATGTTAATCCGTATCCGAAATTAACATAGTGAAGGGCCTTCACAATGAAACCGTCTCTGATTCCTTCGCTCCCTTCATGCACGACATTTGACGCTTTGAAACGCCTTGAAATATTAAGCGAATGGCTGTACCCTCAAACACTAACTTTTAACCGGGTGACTTGGGAACCTACCCCCACGCTGAAATCAAAACTGATCCCGTGGTTCTTTCTCGCGTTCCTTGGCGTCATGGTGGGAACTAGTTTCTACTTCATCCTACTCCAACAACTACTTTCGCATCGAAAAGATCCCGAGATTTCTGTGACAACTCACCTTCTTCTGTTACTATTATGTACTTATTACACATTTTCTTCCTCGTGTAGTTTCGACAGTTTTTTCACGGCTGATGATCTCGCCTTCGTGATTCGAAGTATGTGGAAAATTAAAGGTATGCAGGTACATGCATATTTATGTATGTATGTACTTATGTACAAACTATTGAATTTTTCCTGCGGGTCACTTCATTTGCATAATTATAATGAGGATTTATTCATTAACATTAAGTCAACATTTAAAATAAGATCAATCCTTATCAAGTAGGAAATCCTTAGGCATAAGTCTCCCTATGCTTATTTTCGGTGATACGGACTTTCCGTGTAGAATAAACTCCATTATGTCTCTTGCGTTAAAATATGCAAGCGAGGTGACATGCCAGAAAAATTCTACTATATAATGTTGTCAATATCTAGTTACATGTGTAATTATAATCTTTGTGAAGCTTGAACTGAATGATTTTATGAAGTTTAAGCCGTATTATCAAATTTGTAACTTTTTGCAGGCCAGTTTGACCAATCGTCTAATCTCGTTGGTTTTTTCCTCAACGCAATTATCATCTTTATTATTGTGTTTCCCTTGGATGTCTGTGTAGTTATGATTCTACGTCCAAATTTGGACCCAACCTACCTCTTGTTTCGTAACGTTACTATTATTTCTTGCAAAATGAAACTATTCTTAAGAATTTTGATCTTCTGCTCGTCCTTAATGCACGCCTGCATGCATATCATTAAATATGCAATTGTTGGTGTTAATGTATTGGTTTGGTTCATAAAGACGTTGGACAGGATAACTACGACCAATCGTAGACAGCCCAATTTTCGAAATATTTCCGAATATTTTATAAATATGAGGACTTATCGTCAACTTCAGATCATGAATCAAGTCGCAAATCACATTATTCGAAACGTATTACCAGTCGGTACTTTAATACTATTGCTTGATTCTGTCATGATGGGATATATGATTATTAAAATGAGCGGGGTTGTTCCACACACCGTCACATTTCTTGAGGTAACGATATTTGCAGCAATCGTGGGGTTTATTCAGATAGGATTTTCCTTAATGGCTGAGTTAATGAAGAAATCATCGGATTTTATAAGGGGCTTAAAATTGCAAGGGCTTTCAAGTCAGAGAAAACGGCAAATGCGGAGTTGCCAACCCCTTAAGATTTGGGCGGGTTCATATTTTTTTATTCGTAAGGGTACTCCCATAACGTTGTTCGGCTTGATGGCGTATTACACGATGTCATTAGTAATTTCTGTTTGATCTATGTACTGGGAGCCACAAACTCTATGCCCGTGAGAAACAGACATGGGTCAAAGCAAAAAGGTTCTGTGGGGTACCCGTACCACGTACTTAAAAAATTTGACCCTTGTCCGTAATTTAGAAAACATTAAAGAAAATTGTTTTTCCATATGTAAAATTGTCAATATAATTTAGTGAGTATGCGTATACGAATATGCATATTTAAATCGAATAAATCAATATTTTAAAACAAAATGGTGCTGAATTAAGTATGATTGAATACATATTATGAACTAAATTAAGTACAGTCATCAGATATGAGTAGCTTGCTCATTTATTAACAATTTATTAGTGCACCATTACGAAATTTAATACCTTTTAATACCTTATTTTTTAGCAAGGAATATGTAAATACCACGGATAATCCAGAGTTTTTCTTACCTATCCCCCTAATAAATATGACCAGTTTGTGAGAAATATTTCTCACAAATGAAGGAAGTGTTTACCTTTAACCTGCACAAGCTGCACATGCAGTAAACCACGATGAGATTTATGACGCTAATTAGATGAATTATGCATATGTTACGATTATTAGTATAATTACTACGTTTTTATTGCTGGTCCATCGCATAAATAACCTTCAATTATAGATATTTATATTTCGTCCAGGGTGTCAATTTTTCGTGGTAACAGTGCACAAAATGAGCATCATTACTAATTAGATTGCATGAAATGATCAATATATGTAGGAGACAGCTCACAATTTATAAATACTTTTTTGCACAGTTTATAACTTTTTGCGACGTAAGAGGATGACCAAATGACCATGCATCTTTTTTTATTGAGATTTAGTGGTATATATGATACTGGTATTTAGTACGTAAACATTTATTACTATGCCACAAATAAAGAATATCATTCATAAAGCGTCTGATTATCTAAAATTCCACGTGTGCATACATATTTAACGAGGAAATCGAAGGGAGAATAATTCTGGCCTGATTCATTGTTTATGAATGTGACACAAAAATCCCGTTATTGGAATCACAGTTGTATTTATTATTAGTATTACTTCAGTTAGTACAAGAAGACTCGTTGTCGGAGAAATAGCAAATAAGTCGTCTACACAAGGAATATTTACAATTGCTGTTACAGTAAATAGTGCACTACAATTAATTATTACGAAAATGGGCAACAATTATTTGGTCTTATTTTGTCTCATCGTTGTAATTTCGTGTGAATACGGCGTGGCTGGAGGAAACTTGGGAAGAAGAAATTTTACACAATCAGTAGTGTCACCAACTCAAGAACCGTGTTATCGATGTAGATTTCTCATCTTGCAATTTGTGTCCGCTGTGTGTCCAAGGTTGAGAGGGGCGAAAATTAATGTCGACCAACTTGACGACATAGTAGCGTCGGATCCTAAAATTAAGAACATGCTGAATAATATTGACAGCATGGGAGGAAACGCTGTGTTTTGGATGAATTTAGCCGAAAGGTCGAAACAGGCCAAAGTTTTTATCAGGTAGATAAAAATTCGTCACTATTAAGGAAAATTCAGTTATTTTGAATCATTTGTAATGAAATTGGTTATTTAGATGCCCACAACCGGTGAGGAATGCAGACAAACCCAAGTTGAGATTCAATACTAATGGAACGTTTAAAATTGTTAACTTTGCCGATTTGTGAGTAAATTACATATTCTACAATTTAAATGAAACAATTCATTTTTTCGCTTTAAAAAATTCTTGTTAATTAGACATTACGGAGAATATCAAGGTTTACCTCTGGGTAAAGAACAAGATAACAACTCTACGCGTGTAATGCAGACAATATTACGGATCGAGAGACCAGACTTTGTAGTTCTCACGGGAGACTTGATAACTGGAGAATTCGTGTTTTACAACCCGGAATTTTATCTCCGAAAAGTCTTCAATACTTTGGAGGAGAGAGGATTCAGGTAGATTTGTCAAATTATGGTAAAAACATGTACATCGTAGTTTCTGAATTGAGATTTTCTGAAAAATTACGTTAAATGGGCAGACAAATGAAATCTTACATAAAAGTTTCTTCATGAAATTCGACAAATAACAAAAATTACACAAAGTAAACTAATTGATTATCTCAAGGTGGGCATCAACTTATGGCAACCACGACAATGGATTCACCTCCACGAGAGAAAGTATTTTCGCCGTGGAGTCAACTTTCTCCAACTCATACACCCAAACCGACGGGACGGATGACTTGGCCGGGTTGACCAACTACTATTTGCTCGTGTACTCCTCTAACGCAACAAGTAATGTGACCAACGAGGTCGAAACACCCGTCTTAATTATGTGGTTCTTCGACTCTCGAGGTGGCTTTGACATGTATGGACTCAAGCCGGCCAATGTGGATGAGACGGTGGTTAATTGGTTCAAAGTTGAAAATGCCAAGATGAAAAAAAAATGGGGAATTGTGCCTGCTTTGGCGTTCTTTCACATTCCCACGTAAGGTTTTGTAGATGTACTTAATTAATTAAGAGGCGAGTTAAGTAAATGAATTATGTAAATTTGTATTAAAAACATGCAGCCGACAATATCGGGCAATTCAAGCCACAATTTCAATTAGAAGCGACTGTGTCGGACTGGTTGGTGAGCAGGAGGAGTTTTAAAATTAATCAAAAATCGGGATGGAAAATGCATACATTTATTTTTAGATGAAGCAGTTGTAACTCAAGATCGTGAGACTGGATTGATGGATGCTCTCGTTAATTCGGACACCGTTATGACAACCTTTGTTGGACATGACCACGGTACATACTTATTCTATTGAGTGAATTATGGGATCATGATAAATTTTAGTTGAAAAATATGCACTATTTTGTGCAGATAATTCCTGGTGCTGTAACCATAAAAAGATGCAAATTTGCTACAACAGGCACAGCGGGTATGTTTAGTAGCGTACATGTGTACCTGTTCACCTTCATTCATATGTAATAGTAATTTTTACAGTAAATGAGTGTGGATAATTCATTTACAGATACGGAGGATACGGAAACTGGGCACGAGGTGCGCGAGTGGTCAATCTTAAAGAAGAAGATATCACACATCGACTAAACTATGTACGCTTGGAGAACGGTACAATTATTGATGCTTTCCCGAAGGGGAGTGAATCAACTTTTAAGCTATAATTCTCATCCGCCGATTAAAATAAATTCTTGCATTTTAAGTATTTATTTTGAGATTATAATCTTACAGAACCCATATTTACAGGTCGACATAGCATCAAGCATACTTATTATCTACATATGTATAGTCATCGCCCAATGCATTTGAGCCCTTGCGGAAATTCATTCTGAATAATTAGAATTTAGCATAAATTTAGCAATTTTACACACACATTTAAAGATTTGGAGCATACTAAATTTTAATTTTGGAAATAGTGCCAGCACTCGTGTCGAGAACAATTTCATCCCCAGATCGAAATATCTTTGTTGCATTGACCGCTCCAACAATGCAAGGCAAACCATATTCTCGAGCAACCACCGCACCTGCAGATACCCCAAAACAAGATGGTCGTGGTAAACATAAGTAGTGAAAGTAGATTAATATTTATACTAACCATGACTGATAAGACCACCCAATTCTGTTACGACGCCGCCCAGCATTGGGAAAAATGGGGACCAAGCAATGTCCGTGCCTGTTGTAATCAAAATGTCCCCATCTTCAAGTTGGCTGGAGGCGTCTTCCACATTTAGGCAGACTTTGGCCGTCCCCCTAATTTTCCCAGCACTGACGGGCGTCCCCTTCACCACGTCACAGGTTTCCACGTGGGTGGAATTGCTCAGCTGGAGATAATAAATATGTAATTAAGAATAATGTTCAAAGATTACATTAGAAGGACTGTTTTTCATACCGGTTTTGGAATTCCGACTGAAATTTCTGGAAAATCTAACCCCTCCATGACCGGATATAACCGCATTCTTTTAATCGCACTGAAAATGTGGGCAGTTACTTGTTAATTAATTTGCGCTAGAAAACAGTACGGCTGGTTTCCTTGTACACATTACCGATTGATGATGGCTGAGCTGGAGTGATGTTTCGAAATTAGAAGCCCCATTTCATGATGAGTCAAATGTTTTATTAAATTCGTGTCCGGAATTGTTCTCTCCTTGAGCATGGCCTCCGCCAGGAGTTTGTACTCGTACTTGATCTGTTCTAAAACTTTGACCATGATTGATTTGGTTCTCTCTCGATACGTCACCGTTTGGCGACAGTAGGGCAGAAGGAATTTTAAGAAACGTCTGAATAAAAAAAATAATCCAAAATAATAATTGGTTGCTGAATTGATGGGTAATTTTAGTAAGCGCACTTTGTCCCATTTTCTAACGGTGTAGACAAGGATGAGAGCAAGTCTTGATCGTTCTGCGGATCGGTCTGGTTGACGGTCGGTCGTGCCGGATTTTTTACCTTGTTGACCAGAACGTTCTTCAATAAGGTGACATAAGGAGTGGGGTCAGTTCGCCACGTGTCTTGTCCAATGTTCATCTGTAATTATGGTCAGGTTTATTATTATTTCTTTGCCGGGTTACATAATATACATAATTAAGTACGATCAAATTTTAGTGACCTCAGCGATGGAACGGTGACCATGTTTTATAAAAAATGTTTCCAGTTCTTTGGCCAAAAAAGGGTCTGATTGGAGCCAAGAAATTGCATCTTTTGAAGTCTTGGTGGCGATAAAGGTGTCTGTTTCGCCACGGAGGAGAATCGCATCAGCCAATTTATCCATGTCAGTCGGGATTTCAGCCGACTCCACGGCCGCATAAACTGACAAGAGACGGCCAACATCCTCATACAATGAAGGGGACCAGTCTTGAGCTAAAATTGGAGTCAAATAATAATTGATAATGAATAATCTCAGATTTTGGCATTCGACGAGAATAAATAAATTGAAAATCTGACCCTGTTTGCCTTCTGAAATTGCCATAAATGCAAATATTAACGTCGTGCTGCTTGCTCCTGACATGACACAATGGTCAACCGATATCTGCGTGGAATTATTTTGGTATTTTTTGTTGGATAAAATGATCTAATATTAGGTATTTAGGTTAGCTATTTCAAGTAGCTTTTCATAACGGATGTTTATGGCACCGACTTTATTGGACGTTTGTACAGTGTCAGCTCATTCTTAGCATTCCCATTCTTGGGAGTAGGATTTAGCACTTCCTTTCTATTTAGGTCAGACACTTTGGAAAGTGTCGTGAGGAACAGTTTCATACATTTATTAATACATATTTTATTACTCATGATGTCTATATAATCATGTTGCATGTTGACAATAAATAATCAGTCGATTGGCAACCGTCGTGTTGTATCGTTGTTCATTATTTGCCACATTTTTCGTGAAAAATAAAAAAATCAGTGAAATTTAAATATTATCCAGCTCACGTGATGCACTACCATCAAATCCGCGGTGATTTGATCGTAAATCGTTTTTGCCGAGATAGTGGCGTCCTTATTATTGAGTTTGGAAGTCCATGCACCATACGCCGCATCGATCTGGTCCATTTTCTTGCTGTTATTTCTTATAGATTTGATGGCGCCTATTGCGCCGAATATTTTTGATGAGGGAGACGATGCTCCGTATCGTTCGACCGCAACCTTGTGAACTTCTGGGGTTATCATCTATTCAAAAGTGGACAAGTTTGTTATCCTGTGAGAATAGGTCAATTACATACTTCAGTAAATTGTAAATATTCATATTCTTACGGGCCGGCCGAAGACCTGAAATTAACCGAATTAATTATATTACAAAGACAAGTTATGTAATTAAACATTAAACGTGTTTCTTGTACATACGGTAAGGTCAAGGCAACAAATGGCTGCAGTAATTTTGGCGTCAACTGTTCTGTACAGCGTTGGATAGACGGAGACGAAGAGTTTGTTGCAGTGGACGTGGCACGATTTCGACACGACAGAACAAGCCGTATCCTTACTCCTCTTCGCCATGCCGTTTTGAAGTCCAATGTCCAAATTCCTCGTTAAGGATTGAATAGTACAAGCGTGCAACGGTTTGGGCATAACTTCCCTGCAGTAAAGGGAGATGGGATGAATTAAACATGTATGTATAACCGCATGAAAGTTGACCTGTCAAAGATTGACACAAGCATTTCTTGCAGAATTCTGCACGTTTTAGTATAAGTTCCGGAGGTAACAAAATACTGGTCATTTTACTCTGAATAAAAGTTTATGCAGAAATCGTGTAAAATTGAATGTTTTTTCGATACAAAATGTGTCAATTTCCTCCGTTTAAATTTTCGTACGGCATTAATTGTTCATTTGCTCACCCAGCATTTGCTCTGGTCAGCAACTCAATTCTGGTCCTAATGGAGGAGTCGAATTGATGCATAATTTCAAAATCAGTCCACGCATCTAGCGAGGTCATGGGTCGACTTTGCAAGACGTAAATGTCTCCAGTCTTATTTATATAGAAAAATATTGTCAGGTTCTTATCGTGAAATTAAGGAAAAAATAATCCCACCTGCGTGATGGCCCACTCAATATCGACCGGTTTCAACTGACCCAGCTCTTTTTCGACATTTATGCCTATGACGGCCAACTGGAGGATGTCGGGTTCCGATAAGCACAAACGAGTAGAGTCAAAATCGCTCAATGTTTCCTCTTCGGTTGATTTTCTGCCCGATTTTAAAATTACTTTTGACTTCTTTTGGCCAATTATTTTTTGGTGGATGGACAACTGGGTTTTCTGACAGGCTCCTCGACATTGGATGGAACGGGGTCGCTGGATCGTGATACAGTCAGGATCGCAGGTCGCGTTTACGACGCTCTTAAAAATTACACAATTAATCATTAAATGTCAAAGCATGAGAAATGTGTCTTCGGTGACGTCAATTTTGTTACCACATTATTTAGTACAATTTATGTACCTCTCCAAGTCCATAATTTGCCGTGATGAGTATTTGAAATGGATTTCCGGTGAGTGGATCGGCCGTGAAAAGAACTCCGGCGGCTGATGCGTCAACCATTTCTTGGATGACGACCCCCATTCGTGTAACAGCTGGCTGACCGTGATTTCTATATTTTTCAAGGAATTTATACATACGATGAAAATAATTAATAGCAAGAGCACGTGGTCACACTTACAGACGATATGAAACAGATTGAAATGTGAACGCTGACGCCCAACATTGCACGATTTTCTGTGGAATGGCTGTCTCCTCCAGGTCAAGAAATGATGCGTTTTGTCCAGCGCAGGACAGGTCGGACCCATCCTCCAAAATGCCTGAAGACCTCACAGCAAACCGTAACTCGTGGGAGCGACTTTCTCCAAATATTTGTCCTAAATGTGACTCGACCAATGGGCGAATATCTTCTGCAGCAGCAGACGTGCAACTCATTACGAATTCAGTTGCTCTGTAAATTCAAAGTAAGACGGGTAAATTTTGCCTTTAAGTTGGTGTGATACTTTTATTTATACTAACCCCAAACACGATTCTTCTAAACTTGTGGCTTGGTCTTCAAAAATCTTTTTCAAGCGCTTTTCATCGACTATTTTGCAAAATAAGTTGGTCGTGGCGCAAAATCCTCGCGCAGTTTTAAATTCCTAAAAAATACCGAAATTAGTTTACTTCCTGAAATGTATATTATTATAAATTTGGCCATACTTTAATCGTTCTTCTATTCATCGCAGCTAATTTGGCAAGAGATGCTCCCTTTCCTCCAACGAGACCAGTGTTCCGACAGATGTCCAATTCCAAAGAAATGGCCAAGACGTCAGTTACATCGACGGGTTTCCTATTTTCTATCGCCGAGGTTATTAGAAGTGGTGGATTTGAAATTCTTATAATAATTCCGTGCGCTTCCTTCCCGTTTATTTCCATTTGCAGGAGAACAAAATCCAAAGAATCGTTTACATTGACGGAGTCATAATTTGGCCAGATCTCAACTCGCATCGTTGACTTTTTGTCTAGTGAGATAAGAGAGGAAATGGAGATGAGTTGGAGATTATTGATATTGTGAAAATTATGCAGAAGCAAGTACCTGCAACCTCGAACAATTTAGGAATGGTGGAATTTTTGTCGAAGCCTGTGGCGTCAACATGAATCTGTTCCGTTGGGACTACGAGCGTTGAACTGTACGACTCTTCTCCGTCAATCCAGACTCCTTCGAGGAGAGAAGAGGATAAATGTAAAATTCGTTAAAATTTAATGGATTTACAGTCTCACCATTACGACTCATCAATCTGAGAACGTCGCCATCCTTGTCTTGCATGGCGAAAATTTCTACGAGGGCGTCATTACTATGATTGAGGGTTAGACGCCGCCTGGTGCGGGTTCCATACATGTAAAGAGCATTATCTCTACTGTTGTTGTCTCCATCAACGTTTGCTACTCCGTGAAGTATGCCGAATTGATGGTAGCCGTTGGGTATCATATCTCTGAGAATTTATACATACGTCATATATAATTTTATCCGTTAGTGTGGTAAAGTTTATGAAGGAAAGGAGGGTACAATTTACTTAATATTTGAAAAATTCTGTCCAAAAGGTCTATTCCATGAAAACAGGTCTGCCAGAAGAGAAATATTTGCATCTTTATGGAAGTCCTTGGCGTAATCGAGTGGTTTCCATCTACATACATGCCGAATAGTATTTTGTACATTTATCTATTGTGAAATTATGACGGCATTACGTAATTTAAATGCTTGGCTATGAATTTTAGTATTGACTTAATTTCTTAGGAAAATAAATTGTAACAACTTACAGAAAATTAAGAGTAACATGGACCAAGTTATCGGTAGATGATGTCTCATGATTTCTGAATTTTCAAAATTTCTTAAATAATTACTGAAACTGATTTTATTTTTTGTTAGTTGGGATAATAAATACCGCATGTAACCGTTGAACCATAATCTCCAAGAACGAAAGGGTTCGAGAAGTTCGAGCTTGAAATTTCCTAAGGAAAATTCGACCTGATTGGGTGTCTCACCTTCGAGCTCAACTATATTTTCGTAGCAAAAATTATGTACACATTTCATATTCAGAACTGTTTCATTTTTTTATGCATACCTGTAAATGTTTGACCACTTCTCCTCAGTGCTACTGAAACTTTAGTCATGTTGTTGTGATAGCGAGTGATCCTGCCAACGAGACAATTTCCTTTGTCATCGACGCCATGAATGAGCAGGTCATCCGCGTCCTGTTATAAATATCATACGATTGTTTATTTATGAGACCTGATTAATTAATATAAGATTATCTCATATCAGAAATGCTATTAACCTGGATAGACTCCAATTTATGGGGTGTTTCCAAATCCCATTCGACATCGTGCGCTAAAATTCCAGCTTCCTTCGCCGATTTTGGCGTGGAGGTATTGTAGACGGGGATAATTTGTGGCAATCCCACCACCCAGTTGGAGAGAGCGACCTTGTTAAGGATACGTCGAAGCTCTGTCGGAATTTTTTTGTGCATTTTTCTTTTAATATTAAGTAAATTATTTATTGTCAAATTGTGGGACGGGATTACTTTTTGGGAAGATGTCGCAAGTTATTCTGTTCAACGCGACGAGTCCTGCTGTCAGGGTGGTGAGGACAAATCTGAGAATATGGAGAATCATGGTGGTTCCGATTACTTGGCGAGATGAAACCAATTGCTTTGAAAGTGACCGGTTTTAGTGCTGAAAATTGAATGAGGACAAGTTGTCCGAGGTTATTCTTATATATTGGCAAAGATGCGCATGATGTGCATAACTACTTATCCAGCAATTGTGGATCCGAATGTTATCTTGGCATTGGGTTATTATTCACATTATGATGGAATATAAGTATTCATACATGAATAAAATGCATGCCGTTAATAATAAGTGCGATCTATGTGCACATTGCATGTAGATTCACACAGCGTTACATGCTCAGTGTACGATGTACCTAAGCCAGCCAGATGACCCCATGTCTGCTCGTATGTATGTACATGCATGTATGTAAATATATATCAGTATTACCTGGTTTAAATTTTATGTGGAGAGTAGTTTAGCGTAATTTTTTATACGAAAAGAGCAATTCAATTCTGATGTGCGAGTCTTTGGGAACGATTAAGCATAATATCCGATCTGCCACTCAAGGTCAAAACCAGTAGAGATTTTGTATATAATTTTTGTTCGTTTTGGTTAATACTATTCAGTCATTTACATATTCTTATTGTCAGTGACTTTGAATTGTACATAGGTGTTACATATGTTTATAGGTAGATACTAATAAAATATAAATACAGAATATACTAAAATTATTGAAGTGATTTAGTTAATTTTATGGCTAAAGTTACGTAAAAGTGGTACTAAATTGTAGGAAAGATTGAAAGTTTCATGTATGCACATAAATGTATATATCTGTAAAAGCAAAATATTTGGCATAGTTTTCTTTCCTGCTGCAAATAAAATTAATAAGTTAATAAGTTTTCTCTTGCTATGTATACATACTTCTTATAATAATTTTTCATGAAACTCTATTTAAATTATAGTGCAAATAAATATTTTTACTGTTGTTGAGAAATTTAGTAGTCTAGGTCTGAGAAGGTGAAGGCAAAGTTTATGACCACCGTTGAGCATTTTGGCCTTCGGATTAATAAGTTATGATGTTACATAGTATATATTTAGATAGTCAAAATTAGCCCGAATTATGGACAGGTTCGATGCCTGCAAATTTGTATCACAATTTGGTCCATTAAGCAAGATTTCATAGATTTGCTAGTACTCGGGTTTGGATAAAATGACTCAGTTTCTAATGAAAAAGTTTGCACGACGGATTAATCACATCATAGAAATAAGACCAATCCTGTCCCGTAAGTCGAGCAAAAAGATGAATGTATCATTCGGCCAATTACTTGTAGTTGAAAAGATTACGTAGTAATGGTGACTTCTTGATAATGTCTCGCAGATTGGTGACACAGAGAAACGAGTTTGCACTCATGACCCAAGATTACAATTCTACTCGCTATACAGATGCATGTACTTAACAAATAAGAAAAACTCATGATCTAACTAATCTTGATACTGAACTGAGGATGAGTAAACGTATTTATATAAAATCATCCACATCCAGAATTCATGAATCAGTTGCACACATGTTTGCCTCTCAGAACGATCTCGATAAGCTCAATCTTGAAGAGACCGGTGTAACCGAAAGTAAACGTGAAACTCATATTATCAGTAAGCTGCCATTCCATATTGTATTTTTTCGCAAAAAAACGACTTGCATATATTATTTTCATGATTTTACAAATATTGATTGGAAGTCATGATACATAAATACATAATTTACTTTAATCTGTGCACAGAACACTAAAATGGGTGCCTCAAATTCCTCCATAGTGGTCCGAAACCGATCCAGCCACAAAATCCATGCTCGTTGCGACCAGTCCGCCGAGTCCGGATATTTCCAGCCCGGTCAAGAATTGCGCATGGGAATCGGTCCTGACGGAGTGAAACAGGTCCACGTGAAAATGTTTGACTCCGCCGACACCGTCATTAACGAGTGGACTCATCAAGAGAACATCACTGGAGGAAGATCCTGGTACATCGATGCCCGTGAGGATAACTTGATAGGATGTCTCACCTTTGAAAAAGTTGGGTACGACTTGCCATGGTGGATTCAGCAAAAAACGTTTAGCTGGATAAGGGTTATAACGCTGAAAATGTCTCCGCCCGTGGCGCCACCGACTGCGACATCATGGTCCGCCACATCGATGGAACAAGGATTACTTTATCCAAAAGGTGGCGTTTACGTGCCTTTCCGTCCAAACGAAGTGGACGCCACGATATTAGAATTCGCCGAACGGTTGGGGTGTTCCGATGGAGCTTGTTATTATCAAGGCAGCCTGCGAAGTAAGGGCATCATTAAGGAGAGATGCGTCTCAAATTATGGGAAACTTATAATCTTGGCGCACTGCAGTTTTAAGGCGCCGTTCGGAATGAAATCTAAGATTGGCGGGGGTTCGAACATTCTATCGCCGGCGGATGTGATTGAGAAATTGTGTTATGATTTGGGGGTCGATTGGGTGAAAGGAAACGTAGAAAGGATTTATTTGGTGGGTTGTTACACGGGAGGGTTTTCCTTATCGGGGGGTCCACCAAGTGCCTCGTTCGCACTGAATTTTGTAAACGAGTGGAAATCTAGGTTTACTTTTCACCCTGTTTTGTTAGTGGCGTATTGTCGTGCTGTCGCGATAGATGGGAACGGGAAGGTTTTGTTGGAGAAGGTAAAAATTGATAGGAGTGATCCGACCGAACCGATCAGGGACGTGGGGAAGTATGAGGGGAGGCCGCAAGATTATGTACTACTTTTAGAGTCAGGGGTGAAAAGTGAGATATGTTATGCTTGAAATGGGAAAATATTGCTGATATGAAGAAGAGTGATAATTGGTGAAATTTATTCAAGAAATTTGCCTTAATTTAAATCTTGTAAACTCATAAAAATCTAATAAGCAAAGAAAGTGACAGATCATTACGCCAAAAACGCTTAAAAACTGATTATATATTATTAACTAATTTTATAGAAAAAGAGTTTCTATCTACTTAAGAATTATGTAAAAGTTGATATAATAATTTTACAAAATTTACAGTTTGTAAAGTTACAAAAAAATGTGAGAATTGTAACTACATATTTCTAGGCATGTATTTATTATCTAATCATATATTGTTAAGATCTCTCAGGAAACTTTTGAAAATACATGTATGAATTTTAAAAAATACTTTTTTTCGCAGGATCAAAAATAATTTAAACTTAAACTAAAATAAATATCACATTGAAATACTAATTTCATTTACATAAAAAATCAGTAAGGTCAGCTACTTAGCTCACATCACAAATCGAATAATAGAGCAAAGCACACTGTTCATCATTCATCTCGTGGGCAGGCAGTACTGGATTCGGGGGGTAGATTTTTCTCAGACCAATACAATTCTCTACGATCCCTCCTGCTCCGTTATCAGGCTGATTGTTCCCAACCGGGTAGAATTGGGTTACCTGAATGAATTTATCGAAAAGAATTTTATATTACATATGTATTTAATTCCCCATAAAATAAAATTCATTAAGCGAAACATATATAGATTTTACCGGAAGACCTGTCGTCTCCCAGACAAAATTTCCTTCGGATGCGGCATCCGTGCCTGATGTCCAATATACAATATCATCCGGTAATCCTGAAAATATTTTAGTGGTTACAAAATTGTCACCTAGTGTACGAAGGTGGTAACAATAATTGCCGACAAAATTCATATCTCTCAGCGAAAATTTGATTTCAGGTAGTAAATACATTCTAATTTTATCAAATTATTGTTAACATTTGATACCAAAGAATAATGAATCGCTTTCATTCAAATTTCACATAATTTGCTCAACGAAAGTAACGCATTGATCGTCTTACCACTTTCCCTTATCTCTGCAAGTATGCAATCATACTTGAATTGTGACTCCACCGTGACTAAACTACCACCTTGAGTTTGGCAATAGTTGTAAGAATCTTGCCAGTTTGCCTGCAAGTCCAGTAAGAAAAATGAAAATTTTCTCAAAGCTTAATGCATCACTTTAAATAAAATAGCTGTACCGAGACTTGTCTGATTAAAAGATTTCCACATCCTCCAGTTGGTTGTGGGGGTTGTCTCACAATAACGGGTATTGGAAGGAATTTGAATTTGAGGAGAAATAGTAGCAATGAAATGTGAGAGAAACAAATGCAGGCTAACAATAGCGGAAGGAGGATAGTTGGAAGAAGGGTCAAAAGTATGATTGTTTTAATAGTGTGGATATCATGGTGTAAAAATTCTTCTTCCGATGAGACGTGATCCTCTTCCCAGTAGTAGTCGTTCCTACTACCCGTGTAATAATTGGGGTAAGAATAGGTGTTAGACTTTATAATGTTAGGCGATTGGGATATGAATGGATTTACCTGTGGAGGTGCAGAAATATATTGCAAATAACTTGCTTATACATAGATACATTTATTGGCATATGTACATACTTATCTATGTACGTAACGCATGCATATTTATATGTAGATTTACGAACATCACGTGGACGGTTATAATAACTCTGTAAACTTCAATTTTTATAAAAAAATGTGTGTAAAACTAACTTTACAATATATTTGTCATTTGAGGTTACTCAATACAATTTTTGTAAACTTTTTGTAAAAATTGGGGCTTGCATGTATGTAAGTTTGAAGTGTACATTGAAGTTTACAAACGTCCATGCAAACTGTTTCTTTTAATAGATTCAAATATGTAATGGCTTTAAATACTACTTACCAGAGAAAAATTAGAAAATCCACCATTTAGTTGATAAATTAATTTCCACTCAGAATTACTAGGATTCATTGGTACTTTGCTGGTCTAAGTTTATCGTACTTTTAGAGATTCGAGAACTCCTTCTTTAACTATTTATTTTCGTTGAATACAGAATAATAAATATTTGTATTATCACAGGTGATGACCAAATTGCATCTAAAAGTCTGAGGTGACAATGACAGATAAATCTTGTGGTTTCCCAAAGAACATTTTTGATTTTAATATCACGCAGTCGTAAATCAATATGAATCGCAATTGTTGGTTACCTATGTACTTGGTCCAATAAACTCATTCAATTGTATTTGTTAATAATAAACGGTTCACCAGTTTAAAATCCAATTGATCCATCAGATTGGTGTGTCAGTGATTAATGGCTGAGCTAAAATAAGCACGCCGTGTACCAGTCGCGTCTCAACTACTAATGAACTTGACTAACAATCTTGCCGAGATTCGGCTTGCCTGCGGGGTGAAGAAGACAGAGAAAGATTTCTGACATTGATGTCGCGCAGACAAGAGAGATCAGAGAGAGATGAGGACTAATTATTAATTGTAAAATAGAACAGTGTAAGCGAATGATAATAATTTGAGTGATAACATGAAAGGGTGGGTGAGGGGGAAATTAATTAATACGTCCAATCAAGTGAAAATTGAAGGGCAATGTCCATATTTACCTGCAGATGTGCATGTGGAGATTTGTGTGCATATGTATTTACATACAAATGTGCATATGTACAGGCTACGTATAGGGTACAATTAAAAAAGAACTTTCAAATAGCATTGTCATGTCCAATAAATTAAATGTGATACATATCACAGTGATAATACTTTTTTAAGAATGTAAGCACAAATCGTGCACTTAGGTATTGACAGGTCACCACATATGTAAATATAATTGGTAGACAATTTAGCACTTAAAAAATCAGAATGTTAAAGCTTTTGATTTTTCATATCGTCATCAATTTTCCCTCAATGCAAAATAAATAAATTCGTATTTACTACGTCAGGATTTGTGGAAAAACCATTTGTTGTGAAAAATTATATATTATGCATATTATTAATAATAAACTCAAATGATCATGCAAATGCCGAATTTATTATTCCTAGATGATTAAACATATGCCAACCATTAACAATTTTGAACTGCTGGAACTTAATTCCTTTGTTAATAAGCGCCTTCATAATTTTAGATTTGATCTCGAGCACAAAGGACTTCACTGGGAAGGGTACATTGCTGAGCAACGGCGTCAAAATACAAACCGGTCGGGCAGTTGAAATACGGCTCGACAAGGCGTCCACTGTCACAAAGCCAAAATGCTTCACATAAGGCTGTAAACGAGAAAGTTAAATTTAGGAGCTTTGAAACTTTATTATGTGCAAATTTTAAACAACTTCATTACTTACTCTCATGTGCAAATTTGACGGATCCTTCTAGAGGACAAACGTATCTTGGGGGACCATCTGTGGGAGCGTCAGTTGGTGCGTCGGTAGGGGCATCAGTAGGTGCGTCGGTAGGGGCGTCGGTGGGTGCGTCGGTAGGGGCGTCAGTTGGTTCTTCCCCAGATTCGATGGATTCGCTTGACTCACTGGACTCACTAGACTCACTGGATCTCGACCCATGAATCTTGTGATCATCTGATAAAGTGCAAAAGATTTCTTCAAAATCGTGAAGGCAATAAATGATTTTTTTTTCGTAATCTCGTACCATTATTCCCAATCCAGTGCTTGTGATCGTCCTTCTCATGCGAGCTTACCTTCACCTTGTCCCCTTTAACCTTGTATCCCTTAGCAGCCCGTCCATGAGAAAGGGCCACAAGGATGGAAAGACACAAAAAGACGAGAGAAAGTTTCATTTTGGAAGAGGAAATTTAGCAACGTATGAGAAAGGTGGAAGTAAAATTATACTAGGTAGTTTGACCTTCTTATATTGATCTGACCATGTATAAGTATTTAAATTCTCTTTTTGTGGCATTATTTTGTAAATTATTCTTGCTTTCATATTCAAATTCTGCAACTGGAACGTGATTGTTGTTAAACGTGGAAGAATTGTATCAAATACATACATGCGTCAGTAAATGAAGATGAAATACATCTTTGCATTATTTAAACCAGATGCTCCGGTTACTTGTAATGTGTGTAGTTGTCAATTGTAATACAGAAAGGTATTAAGTACATATTTGTGATGTGCTATGGTAAACTTATATAATCTGCGTGATAATATTAATTCGTCATAATTTAATTAGATATGTATTTACTGCGATCCAGCTTTGATAACGTGGCCATTTTAGATAACAATGTAACTGCATAATAACTTATCCAGCCAACCCCAAGTAGAGGAAAAAGCATGCCAGCGCAAAGCAATTCGCATACATTGTACCTCTATGTATCTATGTACATAGATATTTACCTGCATAAAACTATTTACTGTGCTCGTGCTGCATAGATATTTAGTATTATAGCATTTGTGTTTGTGTTTGAGTAAAAATCTATGCACACAATCCTTAATAATTAAGATAATTTTGTGGAGATTATTTGCAAAAAAAGATAGCTTTATTAGATGCGGGTTAGAAATTGGACAAGTAGGGAGGAGAAAATAAATAAATGTATGTGCTTACATACGTACATACAAGCGTTACCAAAGTGGTTCCTCTCTTTAAAATTAATTCAATTGCAATAACCAATAGAATATATTTAGGTATGTTGTGAAGTAAATTATTCAGGTTCAAAGTGACAGAGCACCATTTTGCACAGCCCAGTTGCTCAAAAATATTAATATTTAACAAAAGAAATGTGGAGAGCATGCATCGCTACAATGTATTAATTTAAAGTTTAGCCTGAACTCTAAACGTACTCAAAGCCCAAACCACGAATACATATAAATTCAAAAAGTAAATTAAAATCATGTTAGGTACATATATTTTTTATATTCATGAATCATCGGATATTTATCATGCGGGACTTCTGTTTGCTCTCGTGCTCTTCGCAGATGTCGATCACCTAAATAATGAGTTTTTCCCAGCATTTTATTTATATTCATGTATACCATGCTGCTGCGTATGTATCTTGAAACCAGAACCCCTCTGAAATGAACTTGAAAATCGACAATTGCTTACTTTCAGCTACTCAAGTTCATATTTACACACATACTTATATAAATATGTACATAGTGTATAAACTCAAATATCCAAACGGTATAGTATTTTCTCCAAGTACCCAAAACCAAACATATTTATCAAATGACTTCATAACCACTCCAAAGATTAAAGGTGATCCGAGATTATGTTTCTGCGTACATTGTATATTCACTAGGTTGTTGCCAGCAGTGCAACTACGCAAATTTGATGTCGTCATGGAGTAGGATTCTGTGTCATTGTCCGTTTTGAATTTCACATTAAGACGACGTCGGGACTTTTGACAGGTTTTTAGCAAAAATAACGGTCAAAGGATTTATCGGGAAATAATCTAACAAGCTAATTTGAGATTGTCCATTATCTCCGACGGCTTTAATATAATCCGGTATCCCAATTTGTTAATAATGTTGCATGAGTGACACCAAATATTTTAACACGCAAACATCATCATGTCCACCAGCTCGAACGTTATATTCCTCGCACGTCAATTATGTACAAACTGAATTACATATTTAACAAAATTTGTACATTAATTTCGATTGAATATGTCTTGGGTCCGATTTACTGTGAAATCTAATTGCCTCAAGTTATGACTATTATGCATATACATATATGCATAATTCCTACAACATTTAACCGAGCATTATTATTCCACGTATACTGATACATAATTAGTAATATAAACATTTACATATGCATACACGGTTAATAAATGCATGTTAATTGGTTCAAATTGCCTTTATTTATGTCTTATATATATACACACGTTTCGTCAACTTGTAAATTACAAGTTGTAATTCGTAGTTCTACGAAAGTGGGTGTGAAAATGAATAAAAATATGGTATGATCCTCTACCACACGAAAAGATTAAGATTACAGATTTCATGGAAACTGTTTAAATATGGCTTCAGTAAATGACAAATAGAGAAGGACAAAGAGCTCATTGTCTGAAATCACAGATCACGGTATACTTAAATATATACAATCGTGTTATAGCACATATACACATATATCTTCTTATGTTTATTCATCGGTCTGAAATAAATAAGCCCAAAAATCGACCCTTCAAAGTCGTAGGCAGCCTTTCACACAATGCTCCATTGTGAAAAGCAGTAAAAGGCGAACAAAGAGAGAAAACTTCCAGCAACTTCACTGCCATCCAGCCACAAAAACTGTGCCAAATTGGAATCAGTCGGTGTTTGTTGTGATCGTCGAAATAGATTCGTACGTTTACTCATCTCCACAAATAGTATTGCATAAGTACAAAGTAAATATACAAATGATAAGTGATAGGTTACCAGTAAGTGCTTAAACTGCTTAATGGTGAATCATTTCAGTTTTTTGTGTGTACATATTTGATTTATACCGGTTGGTTAGTTTTTTAAAAAAATATTTAGTTTGTATTCATTTCATTTTTTTGCAGATTTAACGATGGAAGTTCCTATCACGACGAGCGACAATCGTACCAGTTCAAACTTTAGTTTGGTACAAAGCCATAATAATCAAAGTCTGCCATCGTGTAGTTTATCTTATCGTAGTGTGGTAAGTTTGCTGTGAATTTGGATAATTGAGTAGCCAGGATTTGTTACAATTAAGGTTTAGAGTAGGTAATTTTTTAATTAGTTTATTCAAAATAGGTCTTGTACGTGGGATAATTAAGTGGCTATTGTATCATTATATTTTATTCCAGCCTACGATACCGTCGATACCTTTGTCAACAGCGCCGAGCAGTGCAGTTTGTCCACCCCCATCACCCCCGGCTACTTATCAGTGTTCAATTGTTGCACCGTCAAGCGATAATGCTGCTAACGGGTCAATGGTAACAATTAATCGTGACAATTAAATTATACATATGTAACAGGGTAAAAAATTAATTTCCAATTTTTTAATTGCACAGAAACTACGATTTTCTAAATGTCCACAGCCACAACTTGCAGGAAATATAAGTCTTGGTACCCCAGATAATCAAGAAAATTGCACAATTACAAAGGTTTCGAATCCAATAGTGGGTACGACAGCAACTAGTACTTTCACCGCAACTACTACTATGTCAAATCCGCCTTATCTCAGCGATCCTTACGTCACAAGTGTAAGATTTAACTAGTTTAAATATAATTGAAGATATGTATGCCTTATTTCACAATGTAAATATTTTTCAACAGGGCAAACAACCAACTCAAACTAATTTTAATTTCGGGTATGGTTTATATGGTCCGCAAGGTTACAATGCAAGTCCGCAAGGTCCACAAAGCAGTAATTCATCTGCTACCTTCACTAACTCTACAGCTACTCTTCCACCCACCCCCACGCCCACTATACCAGCCTACAATGGATCATGGTCATCTTATTCCCCGTATTCGTCAGCAGGATCAAACATTCCATACTATTATGACACGAATCAATATAATCCAACCCCACCCTCGACAACGTCAGCACCATCACCTTCATCATCATCATCATCGTCGTCAGGGTTTCAGAGTATTCAGAGCGGCTTAAACTGGGTAACAGCATCAACACCCTTAACCCCAGCACCTCCCCAAATCCAAACACCACAACCACAATTTCCACAACCGCCATCGGTCGGAAAACGTAAAAGGAATACTAAAACACCAACCGCAACGCAGTCACAGAATTATGCCTCAACAATCGACATGGTAGCATCCATGGCGTACCAAATGCCGACAAGTGTGCCACAAACACCACAGATGCAAGCACCACAACCGCAACCGCAACCACCACCAGCACCTAAGAAACCCCCAGGAAAACGTAAAACTAAAACCATTAAAAATCCGCCTATACCCCCACCATCAACATTCCAACCATATTATGCACCACCAGCAACAGCATTTAACAGCATATCATTCCAACCGTATAATTATCTACCACCAATTACTACTTCCGTAACGCCTATGCCATACACCACCCCGGCAACACTACTGCCATACACCACTCCGGCAACACTACTGCCACCACCACCGCCACCGACCGCGCTGCCATTCGTACCTCCAAACCATCAGGAGTATCTCGACGACACAATCGCAGGTCTCGCTCCATACAAATTATTTCCAGTCAGTGACACCACACCAGAGTACGCAACTCTTACGGAATTATTGAACCCCGTCAAAATAACGACAGTACAACAAGTAGTGAATCCCGACCTGTGGGCTAGATTCGTCAACACCCGGAAGGAAATGCTCCGTTCTAAAAGTGACGATCTTGGTCTCCTATCCAATTTAGGGCTTGACGACAAGCAAGTCGTACGAAGTGCACAAATGTCTTTTAATTATGATAAGGATGCCGCCGTCGAAGCTACCCCATACACGGATAACATGGCGCTGCTCTTTCATTGTACAAGATCAGCGACGAGTATCGATCCAATCTTGGCTCAAGGATTAGACGAGCGCGTGGGAAATGCTGGCGGAGGATTACTTGGGAGGGGAATTTATTTTGCGGATAATCCACAAAAGTCGATTAATTATGATGGTGGTATGTTAACATCTTATTATTAGACATAATACGTACAACAGTTAAATAATTAAAATGTTATGTTGTCAAGGAACCGGAATTGTGCTCGTTTTTGGAGTTTTGCTCGGAGATTGTTTGTCCGTGGATCATCTACCGAATAAAAATCAATTAGTGAGAGAGCCGGAAAAGAGTAAAAACCAAAAGAGGAATTATAACGATTCATTTTTTGATTCGATTGTTGCACGACCGGCGTCGGATAACGAGTATGTAATTTATAACAGGTAAGAGAATAAGATACTTAAATTTATATAAAATAATGCTGACATTTTCCTTAACATCCTGTCACAAATTAAATACTCGCGTCTAATTTATTAATATCCACGTGACCATTGATTTTTTCAGGTATCAATGCTGTCCTTTGTACAAAATCAATTACCAATCTGCCACCCACATGCCATCGTCTTCTCGCAATTCGCAAAATAGCACTGCCTCCTTCCGCAGTAAATTACCACCTCTCGCCTGGAAACCATCAGCTCCGGGCTCGATCCCGCTACCACCTGCTTCGTCCTCGTCCCAGCCATGGCCATTTTTTGCTGGAACTATATTCTCGCAGATGGGCGTCGGACAACAGCAACCTCAACCCACAGTCCAAGATGCAGTCGTGGATGAAAGTGACGACTCTGTCGTTGATAAATTAGCAACGTTAGCAAATCTTGGATTTTACGATCTTGACCTGAATCGAGAACTACTAAAGAAATTTAGATACAATATTGATCAAACGGTAAACTACCTGCTGGATCATGGAGATCAACAAAGTGTTTCTCCAGTTCAACCAATTGACATTATTGACCTTTCCGGCGACCCCGACCCCGCAACGCCCGGACCAAGCACGTATTCTTCCTCCCTTCGAACCAGCAAAACGGCGGAAGAACCTGAGTTAAAGGAACTGACAGACCAAGATATTCTAGACTGGGCGACAGATTTTGATCAAGATTATTTATCACCACCAATTTCAAGTGACCTTTCAGCACCTGCAACAAGCACAGAAATGGAGGACTGTCCAATTTGTTGTAATAGCTACGTCTCGAATTCTCCCACCGACTGGAACGAGCTCGCCTGCACGCACAAATTATGCACGGCCTGCTACAAACAGATTGAAATTACTCGGATGACAATGTCCGGTGTAACACACAGGTCGATTAGATGTCCCTTCTGCCAAGCTATCTGTGGAATTGAAGTGGGAACGTGTCCTGTCGGAATAATGCGAGAAACTCAAAGTTCAATACCCTGCACGGGCTACGAGAAGTGGGGGTCCATCGCAATAACGTACAATGTTACCGGGACTCATCCACTCAACAGGACGGCATTTCTTCCAGATAATGACGAAGGGCAGAAAGTTCTTCAACTTTTGAGGACTGCTTGGGACCGGAGGTTGTGTTTCACTATTGGAACCAGCGTGACGACAGGACAGCAAAACGTGCTGGTTTGGAACATTCATCACAAAACGTCACAGTCAGGCGGGGTCCAATCATACGGGTATCCAGATCCTAGTTACTTAGACAGGGTAAAAGCCGAGTTGAGGGCGTATGGAATTGAGTAAAAAGACTGACATGCGAAACAGCAATGGTAATAATTTGCATGTAAACGAATATGTAAGTTTATTACTCTGCAAGAAATAATTATGTGTGATGTAAGTTTACTTATATTTTTGGATACAATGTTGTCACACAATTTGATAAAAATTAGAGTTCCTAGCGAAAAAAAGTATCTTGTTCATATAAAAATAGCATTTAAAGAAATTTGTACTTCGCAAGTATTTTGTTTAATTTTAACTAGTACTTCCTTACCCTATTTTCTGTCATCGTAGATTTGAGGCATGTACATACACTAATTATAATTGAGAGATAACTTATTTATCTGTCCCTCATATGTATGTATCTATGTCCGATTTGTTTCCATGCAATCTACTTGAAGAAAACTTTACTGCGACAATTTTACGCACTGACAGTTCGCCTTCGTCCTTCTCTGTCTTATTGTTCTGTACTAAGTATTTACATACCTTAATATGTTTTGATATACGGATAATGAACGATATTTTAAAGAAAGAAGGGAAACTTGTTCCCTTTTTAGATAAAGATGATCAAATTTTATAACTATGTATATTTTTATGTAATACAAACGGGCAAATGTATTATGTGCAAATACATATCGTTGTTCAGTAAATAAAAGACTTGATCGAAATTAGTATATATTAATTAGTTCAACTGTTTAAGTAATAACTCGTACGTGCAAACATCTTCACACCGAAATTAATAGTGACACCGAGTTGTACAACAGACTCGACAAGAACTCAACCCTTGCGCTTTTTCGAACGTAGAAACATCCTCCCACTCAAATCCTTAACTCGCCGCAACCTTTCAACTGTCGCAGTCCCAAGGCAGACTTAATTTTCACATTTCTACATTTCAAAAATTCTTTAGATTCTGTATTAACATTTGCAAAGAGGGGCAGCATCCAGTGTCCCATTCCGACGATGCTCGCCGCACTAACGACACAAACTAAGGTCAAAGGTGGAGGTATTACCGTCGCAAATTTAACTGTCAAATATATCATTTCGATTGCAATTATAAATGAAAGAAACATACTGACCGGTAAACAATAGAAGTAAAAATGATTCTGAAATTTTACAATAATTTCCATTTCCTTGTATTTCCTTACATTCAGAAAAATATTTCTGCATGAGAAGCACTGAAACTTGGTCGTGTTTCTGGGGGGTGTCATTCTTCTGACTATCATTTCCGACAGCAGGCAAATATTTGAGGCGAATATGATGGCCCCAAATTTCATTATACTTGTGTGCATGCAGAGCAGAGAAATAAGAACGGAGCGAATTACGGTTTTAAAAACTGGGCAAAAACATTCGAAATTTCTGAACCAAAAATACGTTGGATCTATTTTATCGAGTACGACGGGAACAATTAGTGGAGCCAAGCAGGACGTTATGATGGAAATCAGTAGTCCGTGCAGGTACAGTCCCAAAACGTTGAAATGCTCTAATAAGGTTCCTTAAAAAAAATAGAAAAATAAAAAATTTATAGAATACAACCAAATTGTTATAAAAATAGTTTGAAGGAAAAAAGTGAAGTTTGAGAAAAGATTTGAAGTTGTACTCACCTCTTGGAAACATGGCCCGCTTTAATTTTAACAAATTTCTCAACACGAGACATAATTGGTTTCTTTTAAAGATGAACGAAATGCTTATGCTAATTCCGATTGTAAAACTAAAAAAACATATGCTCAAGACAAAGCCGGAAGTGATTGTCACATCAGGATCTTTTTGTTTCGAAGTAATTTGCATAAGACCAAAGTAGACCAAGTGGACGGTTGCCACGATGAGCAGGAATGTCAGCAGGAACGCTGGGAGGAGACGGTTTCTTGGCGTTGGGTGTGGTACCCACGTAATCCTATTCCACGTTATGAACTGAGGGTACAAATATTCACTGAGAAATACGAAGCGTTTGAGTGCATGAAAAGGTGTGAGAGACGGGATGGAAATTTTATTCATCAATTTCATTATCAAGCTAACTAATTTATTCATGCTATTTTAGAAAATGCTAAATTATGAATCGTATGATTTATTTGGCAAAATTAGTGCGGAATACTGTTTTAAAGAAAATATAGTCAAGGGTCCAGGTCAACTAGGCTTGATTAAGATGATGTGCTTATTGAACAACTTTAGGCAGCTCTGTAATAACTATGTTTTATGACTGCGTGCATATCTAAATATTTGCTGCAACCTAAAGCTAGTAATTTTGGTAGGTCGGGTTATGCACTAAATACAGATGCTTTATTTAGGCTGATGATTAATACATATTGCTTTCTATGACGTTTGACCTTGTGAAATATTTTTAGCTTAATTTGTGTATGTACACTCAGGTAAATAAGTACATACAATGCTTTTAAGCGGAAACATTTGTATTAACTACTGATCATGGTCAAAAATAGGCATACCCAATTTACAATTTTCATTAGTTATTTCATTTGCTGAGAACCACGTATTGCATAATTGATGGTAGCAAATCTATTGAAAATAGATTGAAGTTTGCAATTGAGTTGCAATTGGAATTTTTCAGAATAATTAACCGTCATACATCGTTTACTTATCCTTAATTCAGATTTATAAGTACATTGTAGATACAAGCTAGATTCGCGAGCGCATTACCATGTTTTTCTTCGTGTGCCTATTTGTGCCCACCACACCCACACAAAGAGATAAAGATGTACAAATCCAAGTTTTTCCTCGTCAAACATTCGTCAAGTAGATACCAATATGTACCTGTATGAATGTAGCAAATTAACAATGTGTTTCTTAATTTGGGCCAATCAATTCGTCATTTAAATTAAAAAATGGTAATAAATACAGTTTTAAAGCGTGCAATTTTCTTTGTGCAAAAAGTATAATTTCATGTCAAATTTCCCTACATATTTAAGTATGCAAAAGCTAAATATGTATTACATATTACATACACTGGTGTTCATATCGTCAATGACGATTCGTCATTACAAGATGCCTACGTTGAGTGAGCATCGTTTATCGAACTAATCCTAAACGTTTACTAATCCTCCTGCATTTATGAATATCACAAAACTTAAATAACAATGTTGAAAAATTGCGTGATATATAAAAAGATAAGTATGTATGCATGATTTCCGTATAATCCACAAAATTTGCAAATAATTACGATACGTACTTATGTAAACACCATGAACGGACGAAATTGAGGGCAAAAAATGGACCTCATTAATACTCCAACATTTACTCCAAAAAGGACTCATAATAATTTACTGAACTGCATTATTCTTTTTGAAAACGAAAATGAAATTTCTCCGACAAATTTCAATCCCGTCGCACACCCCATTTCAAGCCCTGCAAAGATTCGCGATACTCTCAGAATGGCTGTATCCTCAATTTATAACGTGGAACAGGGACCTGGATGGCGACAGTGACCCCCAAAAAATATTTGGTCACTGCATACACTCTGACAATCCTCCTCGCCCTGGGAGACTTGCACATATTCTTCTTCGGTTTAACGCAACTTATGTCACGGGACAAAGATCCCGATCTCAAAATCACGTCCATACTGAATCTAAATTTGTGCCTCTTGTGCTTTACGATTGCGGTTGCCATGAGTTTTACCTACATTTTCAAATCGAATCAACTTTGTTTCGTATGCAATAGCCTGACGAAGATGGTTGAAAATGTTGGAAATATGGGTAAATTTTAAGCGAATTAACATTAGGCATACTCACGACAACGAAGCTTTGCATATTTCGCAGCTAAGGTACTTTTATAATTTTAGGATTAGCTTATGATTTCCAAAATCATATTCTGCGAATCCCATGGAAATTTTTTATTCAATGGGCTTTAATAAACCAGATGCTAGATGAGACGTTATCGTGAGTACGCCCATTAATAAATATGATTTAATGCTTTCATTAATTGGACGTAAATCACTCATACTGTATGAGTCATACATATACTTTATCTTGTGTGGAACTGCAAAATGTGCGTGTTTTATATGTTTTTCAAAATCAATTTGCAATTTCGTAAGATACAAGTTTAGGTTTGTTAAGCTGTGCAATATCCTTGATCTGAATAAGTATTGGTTTTACGTACACACATTATCACAGAGTAAGGATTAGGGGTTTGTAAAAAGACCTGATTGAGTTGTCACTTTGAAATTTTCAAGTGTTCTAAAACTGTATCTATTTAGTTATTTATGTGCCTATATACTCCATTGATATCATTTATTTGCAGGATATATACAGCGTCCTTTCCATGCTGTCGGCTTCTATCTACACTGCATAATTGCAACAGTGATAACGTCATCTTCGTTATGTTCTTTTATTCCAATCGCTGTCAATGATTTGGATCCGACATATTTTTGGTTTAGAGATGTGACCCTGTTTCATCCAATTTTAAAAACCATTGTCAGATCTGTAACTATTGGTCTCTTGTGCATACATACAAGCCTGATGAACTTTGGCTCTGTCATAGTTTTCTCATATCTCGTTACCATGATTGGGCGAATAATTAGTTCCATAACGGCTGTAGGTAATGTGACATCGACCTCATCGTTACAACGGACGAAGAAGGAGACCGCATTGGAAAAATGCTTGACATTACATCATGAATTGCAAATCGTTTTGACCGAAATGTCCCAGGTTTTTTACTACTATCTTCCCATCGGACTGGGCTTGGCGTGTGCTCATGTGGTTGAAATGTCATTCATGGCAATTAATTTGGGCTCCATACTGCCAGTAATTGTTACCATAACGTGTGCACTTATTGCCGTCATGCTGGTGGCGATGGTGGTCTTCCTGTTTCCTATTGGAGTCCATGTGACTTCGAAGTCGGAGAAATACATACAATTTTGGAATGCTGAAATATGTTCGAGATATTGGAGACGAAAATTGAGAAGTTGTCAGAGCTTGAAGATTTGTATTGGCGGATTCTGCCACATTAATAAAAGGGCACGAAGAACGCTGCTGTATGCAATGGTGGATAATACAATTTCGTTGCTTTTATCAACCTGAACGAAGACGAGGACTGAGGGAACATTTTTAAGCACTTTCATTTCTATTTGCATTGCATGGATGAAAAAGGTAAAATAAACTCTATGCAAGTAAATGTTTAAAAAAATTTGTAAAAAAATTTATTTATGGATATAAAGTATTTATTGTGCATGGGTACATATGTATATATTTACTCATTTTGTGGGTGGATTTTTGTGTCCAAACTTTTAAACGTCTGAAAATCATGTCAGATCAAAGTTCATCTGATATGCAGATATGAAGAAAAAATCAAATAACCATAGATTTGTGCTGGATTTAAGCTTCCAATAAATAGTTGTTTACAAGGAACACATTTAAGCTTTTAAAACTCAAATTACTGCCTTCCATGTATTTGGAATCAAACTAAAGGGATGAAAAATTTTGATGTAGTATATAAGAACTAACAAAATTGCTTACGCATGCACATACATATTAGATATTATTTCTCATTATTATTATTTTACTCTAAATCATCGTCATACTCGTAAGTACATATTATTTAAATATCCGTTAATTTTGATAGTAAATAACGAGGTGGACACATTATAAAAATAATCGAACAGGTCCAGTCACGAAATGTCACCACAGTAGTTCTTATTAAATATGTACATATCGGAGCATTTATATATTTCGTTTCTAA